TTTGGTCGTTGAGCTCCTTGTTTTTAATTGCATATAACTTTATAATTTATCTAGAAAGAAAACAAATATAATGTGGCGTAGTTGTGTTTTTCCTCATTTGACACAGAGTAATACCCTTAAAACTGCTAATTAAATATGTTGGGCTGACAGTGGAAACAATCTGAACTATATGTTCTATTTCTTGCTTGTTCTTTGAATGTTGTTTGCCAGCACTCTAGACTGTCAAATATCAAGTTTCATATAGATTTCAAAGACTTGACATTTATTTTTTTAGCACAAATATTTATGTTGCATGCTTTGCTTAGATTTGATGGATCTGCTGCGCGAGACTCCTGGAAGGGAGGCTCTAAAACTACGAGCAGATGTGAGTCCCCCAGAATCCTTTCGTTCTTGTTCTGTTTTTTGGATGATTGCATTAACAGGTAGGATCTAACTTTTAGATATGTAATGTTTATGCCAGGTTGCTTCCATGGCATCATACCTCCGCCAACAAAGGACATTGATAGATAAAAAGATGATAAGGATTTCAGAATTAGGCATTCCTGTGTGAGAGATTCTGACTATAGTAACGTTGTTGACATGGATTCCATATTATCTTTCACTTTGATCCCATTAAAAGTTGGATGGATGCTTTAAACTTGTTATTTCGGCAGCAGCTTCACTCTTGGTGATTTATAAGGACCATAGGACAACGTGACTGTTATCTTGTTCTTTTGCATGTATGAAATAAAATTTCTTATACTATTGACCGAAGGGCATATTGTGTGGAATTTACAACAATGTTCTCTAAAATGTTGTCTGTTCGCGTCACAGTCCAGATCAATCTCACACTGAGAGTATTGTACTGCAAAAAAATAAATAAAAATTATTAAAGATGAAAATAAGTGCAATGATAAATGTATGTACACAATGAATAAGTGTAAAATAGGAATGAAACTATGTCCGGTCAACCAAAAACGTACTTTTAAGAGAAACTTGACCGATCCTTTCGTTTGAATTTCATTCATGATTGCAACCCGTTATAAGCAAATTGTGAATAATTCAATTTCTGAAAGAAAAAAAAAATTATAATCAATTAAATCATTATCATATTATAAATAACTCAATTTTGTTAAATGATAAATTTATATGGCTTTGTTTACAAATAATTAAAAAATGACCTGACATGCATATTTTAAAATCATTTGGTAAACGGGTACGAAGAAGGAAATATGAAATTAGGGATGGGTAAAGTAGTAAGGAATTATGGTTTTTCTCAAGTCAATTCATGTACATTCCTACCTTCTTGTATGCTCGTAATATTTATATCATGTTTTAAAATTTAAAAGTGATGTTGTTAGAGTAAATTTAACCAATACTTACTGAACTTTAAATTTGGTTACTACTTGCTCACTCATCTTTCATGGGTTATTGAATACTCACTTATCTTTCCATATAGTTATTCATCTACCGCTCGTCTCTTCAAATATTTTGGCAACTTTTGCGGCAAATTTTTGACAACTTTCGACCACCAAGAATATCGAATTTTGATACCGTTGGAAAGCCAACGATGTCCTTTTCAATTACCACCCAAAATCTCCCTATAACTCCAAGGGATTCAATCGAAAAATTGCCTTAAAAGTCGCTCAAAAAATCTGAAAATCTGGGCAGATTTTCAGATTTTTTGGGCGATTTTTTGACAACTTTTGACCATCAAAACTGTCGAATTTTGATACCGTTGGAAATCTCACAATGTCCTCTTCAATTAATATCCAAAATTTCTCCATAGATCCAAAGGATTCAATCGGAATAAACCCACAAAATCAGCATCTCGAAAATGTGAAAATCTGGACAGAGTTTGGGATGCTGATTTTGTGAGTTTATTCCAATCGAATCCTTCGGAGTTATGGGGAAATTTTGTGTGATAATTGAAGAGGACATTGTGGGCTTTCCAACGGTATCAAAATTCGACATTTTTGATAGTCGAAAGTTGCCGAAAAATTACCTTAAAAGTCGCCCAAAAAATATGAAAATCTAGGCAGATTTTTAGAATTTTTGGGCAACTTTTAAGACAGTTTTTCAATCAAATCCCTTGGAGTTATAGGGAGATTGTGGATGGTAATTTAAGAGGATATATGAGCGTTCTAACGGTATCAAAATTCGACATTCTTAGTGATCGGAAGTTGTTAAAAATTTGCTACAAAAGTCGTCCAATTATTTGAAGAAACGAGTGGTGGATGAGTAACTATATAGAAAGATGAATGAATATTCAGTAACCCGTGAAAGATGAATGAGCAAGTAGTAACCAAGTTTAAGTTCAGTGAGCATTGGTTAAATTTACTCGATGTTGTTATAACATTATTTAAAAAAAAATCAATATTGAAGACGTTTCATTTTTATTTTTATTTTTTTTGTCTTTATTTTTGTTTTGTGCCCCTTTTAAACATAAAATTGGACCAACTTCCTTATCATTTTCGAATGGTAATTAGCACAAAACATTTCTACCTTCCAAGGTAATTGTGCAAAATGTCCATAATTTTTATTTTTTTGACATTTTTGCCTCTATTTCCACATTTCTTTGCACAAAAAATCATTTTCACCCATTTTTCTAATGAAATGATGATTTTACCCCCGATTCAAATAAAACAAAAAATAAATGATGTATTGCAATCACAGTTCTAAATTTTTCAAAACATTAGAATTTAGTCCTAAATTCTCCTCCACCACCACTTTCACAACCCTACCAAGCTGTCGTCATGCTCGTCAGACTCCACCTTTAAGCCATAAGCTGATGGAAGAAAATCTCCTTCGCGCGAGCAGGTTGTTCTTGAGGTCGAATCCAAAAATTGCTTTATCTGATTGGTGAATTGCAGCAATTGATTTAGTAACCATGGTCATTTCACCTTGAATTGTATGTTGGTTGGAGTAATTGATTGACTATAGATGTGAAAGAATATTAATCAAAACAGAATCGGACTGGTTGAAGCGCAAGTTCTTTTCCCTGAGTAAACTGCCATTTCCAGGCCAAAATGGGGACCCATTTGTTCAATGCATGCGTCGTGAAGAGTAGGTGCTTGTAGTAGTGGTCCACGATATGGGTCCCACCACCATCGTCGAAAAATTCGTCTGAAAGTTGCACAGTTGCTATGTTCGAAGACGAGCCTAATGGTTTTGATTCCATGTGTTTATGGATGATTGGTGACCATGGAAAGGGACGCCTTAATGCGTATAGTTCACTGGAATGTTAGGCATGGCATGGGTGTCCTCGGAATTGGAGATTTTAGCTTGATTTTGTCGGAATCGGAGTTGCAAAATCTTTTCGTTCACTGAAATGTTTTGGCTTGATTTTTCGACAAATTCAAGTGGGTTCAAGGTAAGGGAGTGTGTGGTGAGGCTGGTGGTGATGTAGTCCGGCGGGTGTAGTGGCCGGAAATGATAGGGTTGTGAAAGTGGTGGTGAAGGATAATTTAAAGCTAAGCTGTGATATTTTGAAAAATTTAGGATTGTGATTACAATTAGTTATTTATTTTTTGTTTTATTTGAATCGGGGGTAAAATCGTCATTTTATTGGAAAAATGGGTAAAAATGACCTTTTCCGCAATGGAATGTGGAAATAGGAGCAAAAATACCAAAAAATAAAATGTAAGGACGTTTTGCACAATTACCTTGAAAAGTAAGGAAGTTTTGTCCCAATTACCCATTTTTCAAATATTAGTGTACCCTTGTCTTATGATGCACCCAGCTTTGTAGTGTGGTTATGCCTCCTTTTGATTGTGATTTTTCGCACATTTTTTTTTTTTATGCTACTTATCAACATGAGAGAGAGTGGGGTGGGGTGGCGTGGGGAACGGGTGATTATTGAGGGCCACAAGAATAATTTACTTCAAATAATGCTATATAGCCTTTGTTTGAGTATTTTTATAAGAATGCAATTTTGAATAGTGTATTGATGAGAAATGTGTAGTTAAAAAATAAACCCTTTTTTAGTCACATTATTTACATAAGAATGTATTTTTGAGTAGTGTATTGATGAAAAATGTGTGCTTAAAAAATAAGAAAAAATTTTGAATTTGGGTATAATATTATTTTATTAAAGAATGTATGGTTGAAATAATGTCAAAACACTATTTAACAATATATTTTTTTTTATGTGGCTTAAATAGAGCCAAAGAAAAAGTTTTGATTTTGCGTGTAATATTATTTTATTAAAAAATGTGATTGAAATGATGTGAAATCACTGTTTAAGAATATATTTATATTTGTTAAAGAGCGCAGATAAAAAAGGGTCATAGTGTCAGTTGTGTTGAACATGTGACGATATAGCATAAACCCTATTAAGACCCCGTTTGGAACCAATTAAAATCTATATTTTAATTTAAATTAAAGTCAATAATTCATTTCAACCACATATATTATGGGTCCTACAACTTATCAATCACACATTTCATCAACTTCTATCAAAATATACTAAAAATTTGATTTTAATCTCTATCAAACATTGGCTATTTGCCCAATTTAAATGCATTTTTTGAACCGTTACAACATTAGAAGTCGTGATTTTTGACCTTTTTTCTCACAATGGGTCTTATATGCTGGCAGAAAAAGGGGGTCAAAAAATGCATTATTGTCTTCAAACAATTGGAAATAAACATGGGTTGAACATGTTTACATAAAAGTTTAACATATTTGATGAAGTTGATGAAATATATATATAAAATTAAGAAAAATGATATAAAAAAATGAATTATGTTATTTGTATATAATAATCAATTAATCATATATAAGGAATTACATAATATGATGTGGAGGGAAAAAAATTGGATAAAAATTTGATGTAGTTTTAATTTGACAAATAATAAGGTGACATGTAAAGCTAATAAGGCCAAAAAAAAAAAAGTTTGACAAGGTTGTTTGTTTTATGGTCAAGTAAAATCGTAAATGTGGTCACGACAATTGTTTGGACCTTATTCCCTTCAATTCATCAGTATTTATGTCGAGGTGAGAAAGGGGATCCATACACAGTAATCCATCTTGTAGATATATAATAATTTCGTCTTGTAGAAATTACTAATCTAGGTTTGTTAGCCATATATTAATTTCCATATAATATTTATTTTAATATTTAGTTTCCTTCTTTTATATGTTTCATTTTTAATTTCTTCTCTTGTAATATTTAAACTCATATATTTTCATTAAAAACCTAATTTCTTTTGGTGGCTCAATTGTTTTCTTCTTCTTCTTCTTCCTCTTTGGATCTCTATATGTTTGATTCTTTATGTTATCATGGTATAAGAGCCCTGACATGTGTTAAAGTTGATTTTTTCGTCCTATCCCATACATGTGTTAAAGTTGATTTTTTGGTCCTATCCATTCTCAGACAACTTATGTCATCAAAAACAATAGAAAATTTTATTTTTCTTTTGAGCCGCCATTGAAAATATACAATATCTTTCAAAAGAAACCTCCATTTGGCAATTGGTGACCATATTTAGATTCACGATGACAAGACGATATTATCTGACCGGCGCGTGTGGCACCACGCGCTTGATTCTGGCTGCGCATGAATGAAAATTGCAATTGTTCTAGCGATGCTTGTGGGGGCGTGAGAGGGTTTTCGACGATGTGTCAATGAGACAATTTCTTCTTTGGTGAGTTTCTGACAATTTGGTGGTATTATTTTGATCATAGGCGCACTGTACGGTATATTCTGGTGGTAGTTCGTGTTGGTACGTTGGTTGTCGTTAAGTTTCTTGGAATTTGCTGATTTCTTTTGATTAGTAGTTGTCTATTTGTTGATTTCATGATGGCAATTG